ACTGTAATGCTCAAAAAATTCCAAACTTTTAGAGATTTTCCACCCCGCACTGGCCATAGATGTCAAAGTTTTGGAATTTTTGGAATTTTTTGAGCATTACAGTGTTTCGTGAGTTTTGGGATTGAAAATTTTGGAATTTTTTGAGCATTACAGTGTTTTGTGAGGTTCAAGGCACGAAACACTGCATTTGCAAGCCCCCAGTTTAGAAACCCAGAGCTTTGTTCGTATGTGAGTTTCCGCGTGATTGTTGCTTTCCTTTGTGGATCTTGTTGTCATCGCTCCGTTTGGAAGCCAGTTGCTTCATCTCAAGTACAAAGTGGATCGTCCCTTTCCCCGCCATGATTCAAGACGGTGCCGATATCTCTTTGCAGGATGCTCTCGATGCTACAAACTCCCTCACGATAAGGCAGATGAAAAAGCCTAACATCGTTGACAGTCCCGTGGGGACAGTGCAGCCTATTCACCTACCAATCCAGCCGGTTGGAGAGGCTACACCTCGGCTTCGTCATGCATTCGATGTGGTTGGTGAGGTTCAGTTTTCGCATGACAAAAGGAGGAGCTCAATTACTATGCTAGGGATGGTGCATTTCAGAGGTTTCCGGAACCGTTTGGCTTCAAAAAGAATCCAGACATTGGTGTTGAGATGCAGCTGGCCGTTATTCCAAATTCAGCACGCGACAAGTTTTACCTCGTGAAACATTTCCTGTTCAAGGAACAAGTCAAGACAGATTATGCTAAACAGCTGTGTCATGGCGAACTACATCAAGTTTCTTGGGGAGGGAATGCGAAGAACATCAAGAAAGCTTTGCAGTACATGTTCGAGAACATGGGCGGCTACCAGATCCGTATGTACTCATTGCAAGCAGGAGCTGTGGGGCAGAGTGAGGCCAAAGGCACCTTTTTCTCGAATGTTTCAGAAGAGGGCATCGACGTCGGGTTTGATTTTATTGAAAAGAATGGCCCCCGAACCCCCCACGCCAACAAGCAGTTGAGGTGGATTGCACAACAACAGATCACGGAAGGAAGCCCCGTAAAGGATTGGCCAGAGCGCCTCATCAAGGAGGCACTCCGCAACTTGATGTCGGATGGAGTTCTGGCACTTCCTGTGGACGACTTCCCCCTCACCCTGGTTGACGTCGATCCCACGGTCTTGAACATCTTAGAAAAATTCTTTCCTCACTTCACCGAAAAGGCACTCGGCATGCACGGTGTCCCAAACGTCGGTAAGACTCCATTGGCCCGCATCGTTGCCATGGCGATGTCCCGCTACTGGGTCCTCAAACTAAAATCGAATCATCGCCCACAGTATCGCGAGGCATGCGAGTCTGATTTTTTCAGAGGAGAGGCCGGACGCCAGGACAGGCCAGATATCTTCGACGACGGCACCTTATCCGACCAACCACTTCGCAAACTCAAGGGGTTTTGTGACGTAGGCAACACCGTTTTGACCAAGGAAAGGTGGGGAGCGGCAAAATTTCCACAGGGACAGATGCGGATCTATGTCAGCAACGAGTTGCAGTTGGATGCAGAACCATTGTGTAGGAATTCCGGCAGCACAATCAACCACAAGACGTTTCTCGAGATTTTGGAGCCGGCTTGGATGAAAGGGACCGGGGTTTCCGACATTATCGCGGTTCTGAAAAGAACATGTCTGTTGGTCTTCACCGACAACTACATCTACTACAGGCCCGCCACAGACAAGCAGATATCGGTTGAACGCATTCCCCTAGACGACTCGAAATCAGTACTCCGGCAGAGCAGTGGCCCAAAGTATAACCAGTACAGGAAAGGTTATCGTGCACCCGCTGACCCCGCACATGTTGAGTGGGAACGAGCTTGGATGGCTAGTGTCATGGACAACCACGGCGAGAACCTCCCCCCAACGCCATATGAAGTTCGTCGCAGAGATGCTCGCGGCACCACTGCTTTCGAAATTAGGGTCCCGTCGCTACCTTCGGCCGAGGTGAAGCAGGAAGTGTTGTGTTGTGGTGTTTGGTTTAGGTTGCATTTTTGGGCACCGTGGAGATATTAAATGTTCTTAAATCTGACGTGGGGTTCATTCTTACCAGTTAGCACTTACCAAAAACATCCCGGTTTGGACCGCGCGAAACCGGGAGTGTACTGCAGCAGTACGGAACCCGGCTGATGCTCATGATGCTGGCCTGGGGGGGCGGCCCAATCCCAGCTGATGCTCGTGATGCTCGTTCCAAGGCTGGTCCTAAAACCAAAACCACCCACAACCGCGACATCGATGCGGAAGACAACAGGGTTTAGATCAGGTTTGTTTTTGGGTCGTAGGTAAGTTCTGTATTTGCAAACTATGAAACAGGAGCCCGTCGCCTTCAAGCGTGCATTGTCCAGCATGAACAACACGGTGATCAGTTTGGACTCGCCCCCTAAGAGGAAGATCAAATCAGAGACGTATGCCACCGTCAAAGAAGAGTTATTCGCATCGCCTCCCCGTATGCCCGCGATTCATGGTTTGGTTGATCTTGTGTCCGACGATGATGAGCCACCTCGTGCTTCTATGTCTTCAGCACCAGTTCCGAATCCAGAGGAGATCGTTAGGGCAATATTTGTTATCTATGAAGCACTATATGATAAACACATGGGCCACATGTCACATGATGAAACATTACATCTCATACACATGTCTAGGCAAGGACAAGCACGAAACATGAAGTCTTTCTGCTTAGTTCGCAGGCATTGTCATGGGCACCGCCATCACCGCACAGTTCGGGACGCTCTCCTACCACGGGTCCACCAAATCCGGATTTTTCAGTGGCGGAAGAAGATGAGATGGATGATGACATGGATGTTGCCGAAGATTAAGCAAGTAGAAGAACATCTTGAGAAGCACGCCATACCGGCACACAAATTTTGATAGCAACATACGTGTGCAGTGTGAGGATACCGGGGCCGGGAGCAAAGTAGGCATAATTTTGTCAATCATACCTGTTCATGTTGTCAGATTATCCTTGAAGGTTTATGCCATGTCTGTTGAATCTATCGAAACATGCTCCGAGACATGTCGCGCAGCCAGAAAGCCCGGTTAATTTTGCAAACACCAGAGACGACATGCGGGCATACACGCATGAAAATTCCAGGCTGCTGAATTGTTGCACTGTTCATGTCGCATCACGTGCATTGTTCGTTATGTTCGCTCTGTTGAACGGTTCTACAAGCTAGCAAGTTAGCACTCGTTCGCTCTTTCACAAGTTTTGATTTTGGCAATATGCCAAAAAATGTAAAGAAGGCGATAAAATCGCCACCTTTCCCTTCCCCCAAACGTGGAAAACAACGTGTACAGAATCGAGCCATGAAGCAGTATGTGAAGGTACCGTATGTTCGCCATGGAGTGCTAACGACCAAGAACAGAGGACATCGTGATCGTTGGTGTCTTTCAGTACACACGCTGTTGTCAATGACCGGTCGCACGCTCATCAAAAAGCTTATGAAAGACAAGATCCTTCCAAATTGGTTTGGTCATGATTGTCCTCGGTGCGGTCATGGGACTTTGGGCAAGTTGTCGTATGTCAAGCCGAAGAAAGCATGGGGGTACAGATGCGGTCACAGGCACTGCCACAAACTTCTTCTGGCTCATGACTTTCATCCCATCTTCTTCACGGGCGCAGGAAATTCCTTCACAAGCCTTCGTCATCAAGCGGCAGTGCTCTTTTGTGCGGTTGCCGGTGTCTCTTGTCAAGCTGCGCATCTCATTCTTGACCTTGATCACAAAGCCGTGGAGCGGGTTTACACCAACGTTGACATCGCTCGGGCTCGTTATGTTCAGTTGAAAGAGAAGGATATCCAATACGGAGGCAAGTGGCAGGACGTTGAAGTGGACGAAGTGGATTTAGGAAAGCTTACGGACGACACAGCCCCAAGCAGCAAGAACACAGAGTGGGAGCAATGGGGGGGATTGGTTGAGCGCGGGCGGCCCTCATCCTTGAAACTATTTCGTTTGCAACCGGCCAAAACAACCCAGCGGGCACCGGGGCCTGGACCAATAAGGAAGAGGGAGTGGCAACCCATTGCGAACAAGCACTTGGCTCCAGGTTGTTCTCCACAGCGACGGTGCCCGTGCCTACAAGTTAAAACTCCCGGGGATGGTGCACTGCAACGTGGTGCACAAGAAAAAAAAGGTGAAGGTGAATGGTAAGGCTGGGCGTTATCCGGGTAAGTTTAGATGGTGTTTTAGTTGGTGTTGTAAAAATGGCATAAACACAAAACTGAGCGCAGGTGCAATGGGTGAAGCCACACTACACCAAGATCTACACCTTGAAATTGCCCACGGGGGGAACGATGCAGGTGAAGAGTGGAATGCAGATCATTGATCGTTTTTGGGGGTTGTTGCGGTCTCACCTTAAGCATACTACTCGCACCCCAGGCAACACGATTATGACCCGCAAAATCCGAGCTGCACAGTTCGCGTATTGGTTCGGTAGGCGCAATATGTGGGAGGTTACCGGCAATATGCTGGATACCTTGTTTTGGGCATCCTGACCATTGAGATGTCGAGCTACTTTTTGTCATGTGTAGCACGTTATCGCTGACATCGCACGCAGCGGGAAACAGATCGTATGTTCGAAGAGAGAGTGTGTAGCATTTGTTGTGGTAATAGCAATGTTGTTACATAACACTCAATAAAACACTAGAAAACGCAAAA